TTTCCTTTTTGTTTTCTCTCTACAATTATGTATTCAGTGTGCGTTTTTTTTGTTTAGGCATGTGGCATCCTTAACTTTCGAAGTCTCATTTTGTTCTAAAAGAAATCGCATTTTTCTTAAGAAATAGGCGATAAAATGAGGGTGTGGGAGTGAGTCTTATATTGTCTCTTCTACCTACAACCACACTCCGCATCAATCTTTATCTGATTCAGAAATAATTCTTCATTGAATGATGTTTCATCGATAAAACGAGATTCTACGCATGTCTCTTTCTCATAGAATAATTAATTCATTCGTTCCTTCTATTTTAATTCGTTTAAATCTCATCAATCACAAACTGAACACTAGATCTGAGACAACCCATTTATATTTTTCAGTGAAGAAGCTTTAAGAATCCTTTGTTTTCTATTCATATTCTTTATTTCATCATATGATTCTCTTCATAGATATTTCTTTCTTCTCATCAAAATCTATGAGAACCAAGCAGGAGTAGCACCAGCACCAACATATTCCCAATGCCAAGGTTCTGATTGAACAGTACGTGTAAATCCATACTTATGTGCATTATTATATAACCATTGATAAACTGTACTTCCACCACAAGATGGTCGACTACCAGATTGAGAGCCACAGTTCGTATTCAAATCCAAAGCAACACCACGACCATGATTTGATGTACCTGGACGGGCAGCTAGATTACCACCATTACATGATCCAGTTTGATAGCAATTCCAGAAGTATTGTTGACGAGCTATCGTTCGAAAACCAGAAGCAATGGTAACTGCGACGTCTGCTTGTTTGGCAGCTGTAGCCATCTTATCAAAACCACATGCTGTTGTTGTAGTCATGGTATTGTCTTTGTCTGTTGGTGCTGCTGAATAAATACTTGGATCAGAAAGATGTGCTTTTATGATTTTCACTACTGAATAGACGACATCATTATTACCAGCAATCGAGAAAACAGTAGAACCAGCATAATTTCCACAGAGCCCATCTGCCAAAAAAATAAAATTTAATATTCTAATAAATATCTTTTGACGGTGAACTTACTCGAAGTAATTGTTGTTGCCGAGAAACAGCATTTGACATCAGCTGGATGACTTTCACATAAACCCGATATGTAAAGACTATGTGCACAACTAGAAGTTGGAATACATCGACCAACTTTGCCATACTGTGAATGTACATATGATTCACATGAGTCACCTTGTTATCAAGTAACAACAAAAAATATTATTCAATTACAAGTTACTCTTTCCTATCTTACCAACAACGGACGTTGTTAGTACAGCAATGAAAGCAAGTAGAAGAAGCATTGTTCACTGTTAGAATCAGAAAGTGAATGAAGTAAGTCTGGAAGAGGCCTGTTTTTATACCGAAATACTGATGAGAAGGCAAAACAAAATAATCTTTCACTCTATTGAATTGAAATTCGATATATCAGAGAGAAAGAATAAAGGGATTTGAATCCCATTAGACACTTTTTTCTCATTTTTAAGACGAGCAAAGACTGTTTTTTTTTTGAAGAAAGACGGCATATTTTCTGATTTGATGGATAAATACTAGATTGTTAAGCATGAAAAGAATAACAAAATGTATTAAATATCACGATGGCTTAATCTTGAAATTGAATGAGTGCGATCAGCATTTGACTGTGGAATGGATCTTGTCATTTCAATCAAATCGATTTTACGACAAAAATTTCAATTTCATCTCAATCTCTCATTGTTTCCACAGGATGCTCGAGAGTGAGGATGAGGANATAACTAATACTTTGAAGAAAAAATTATTTTGATTTTAATCTATTATAATCGATTACCAAAATTTAACAATCAGTTTTAATGGATTAAATTTCGGTAATCGATTATAATAGATTAAAAAGGATTAAAATCAAAATAAGTTTTTCTTTTAATGCTGAAAAATCTGATTTTAATCAGATTAAAATAGTGCCATTATAATAGATTATTAATCCGAAAATAATCCATTATAATCTAATTTTGAGTCGTTTTTTTTACATGGGTGAGTGTCTCTATGGATTTCGAATATTCAGAAAAAAATTCATTTGATAGGTCGTGATCTTTGTGCCATATAAATACATGGTTATACAACAAATGGCATAACAAAACAAGTTGCATATCTCTGACACTTCTTGACTGAATTCGACAAAGTTTTTTTGTATTTGAAAGAAACTCTACTAAGTTTTATTCTAACATTAGATCAATATAGTGTGACATACACTTGAAAGACTATATTTCAAGTAGTAATCTTGGTAGCGAATGTTGAGTCTCTGAAAATAGTCATCCGTAAATTACGATCCCAAGGACACCAACCGAAAGGCAGAAAGGTATACGATTATAGCAATATATCCAAAAATTTCTGAAGATTAATTTTCTTCAAAGTATTAGTTATTCAGGAAGATCATCAACAATAACAGACGACGATAAGTTTAAGCAAATTTTGGGTATGAGATTAGCAAATAGCCTATGCAATTTTGCACAAATAGTGAACACTTCAAAATGTCAAACACATTAAATAATGAGTGATTTTATTGAATTTAAGTCCGGTGTATAATGAATTCTACGCAACAGTTGCATGATGCAGACAAGGATCTGTATGTTGAAATGTTCTAATGAAACATGTTTTTATGTTTCTGGAATTATGATCAAGCATAACTGTCATATTAGTCAGCAAATAGTTCACATGCTACCATGAATTCTTCTACGACCAACATATGGTGCGTGATCGTCAATAAGAATATACTTAATCCATACTTTTGTTTTGACGAAGAAATATCTAATGAATATAGTTATCTTGATACGATAAAAATATTATTTTTATCGAATAATGCAAAATAAAAAACTCCATAAGAAGATGATTTTCAAATGAGATTATACTTCATTTTATTTTTCGAAAGAAGTTTGTGCATAATTAAATGAGAAGTGTGACAGAATATAGATTTCAAAAGACGGTTCGTTTTCAAGGACATCTTGATCTCTAGATTTGATATTACTGAACTTTCTCTTAAAGAAATATATCAAGACAAACATGTAAAAATCGCAGTCAAAGACACTGGACACTTGAAAGATAGAATTGAGAAAGAAATCAAAATCATCAAAGACACATTTGAAATTTTTTTTCGATGTTATTATGAAAACATAGAAACCTAATATCAATGTAAATGGTGACAATTTTGAGCAGTACACATAAAACACTATTTCTAAATAAACCTTGGAATATGTCTCTTTCAAATATGATTAAGAAACAGTAGTCATATGTCTTTTATCGAAGGTTATTTCTGGGGCATCTTGTATATAAACTTGCTTAAACATTTCAAACATCTATTTCAGAGGAATAAATCAATTTAATTTATAAGTGTTCTCAGTTTTATAAACAAATAATATAGAGTCCAATAGTGTTCTACAACAAACGAGATTTTCAGTTCAAGTTCTATTAGATTTAAAATGTTTGATGAAATATATGTTTGTATGGCATCTGTATTTCTTCAAAACTGTTAGTTAAAGCGACTTACGCTTGTTTACCAATTTTCTACTGATTTCTCTATTAAATAGATGTTATATGTCATCAAAACGTTGATTTGAATGTATCACAATATATAACACAATGTAAATTACAATTTTCTCTCTCAACTCGTTCTTCTCACTAATAGTTACTTTTGTGACATTATCTTACATAAATAATTAAACTCGTAAACTGAACGAAAGCAATCAATGTAGCTAATATTAGTAGCTTACGAGTGCTCAATAATGAAGAACGATTTCTACATACTCTGTCAAGTAGGCATCGTCCGAATAGATACATTTGTAAAAATTGATATCAACCAATGGTATCCGTCGTAATATATGTAATGGTAATCTATCTATGAAATAAAAAAAACTATTGATGATTAATCTTAAATAGAAGAAGATTAGAATACCTGATTCTGAGTAAATAATCCGTAGATTGCGTAATCTTAATTTATATTTTGTATAGAATCGTAACTGTTGCGCTTCTTCCTACGTAAACCAAAGTAAATCCTTTTTTTATTGACTTAAAAAGTATTTAAAATAATATAACAATGATTTATTATTAGAGTCTATGTAACAATCTCTTTCTCTATTGGTAAGTCATGTTTGACAAAATATTAGTAAATCAATGCTTGCATCGAGCCACTTTTCTTTTTTTTTTTTTTTGCTAGTGTAATTTTAATGTAATAGTCAGTGATATGGATTTAAATGCCTTTTTTAACAAGCAATCTTCTCTTTTTTTAATATATTGATTAGTTATCACATGGTTGGAATTCAATATTTAAAAAAAAAAACAACAAGCAAACAGTGGTACTCTAATAAGATCTAATCAAATATACCTTGGATAGTGAATTAATATTATCTTTGTCATTATTTAAACATGCGTTTAAGACCAAACTATCCAAATCAATGTGAATCATGGAAGAATGTCTATAAAGACAAGTATATATATGAGGCAATTAGAAGAGTATTTACTCACTTGTTGAATATGCCATTTTCTGGTAACAATAGTGAAATACCTTTGAATTGTATTGTCATATCAAAAACTTTTGCTTGAGAAAGATCTTGTTCCATTTCTTCAATTGTTCTTTGTTTTATTCTATGTAATAAAAAGAAAAACAGTATTTTGTTCCAAAACAAAAGTCAATTCGATCAACAAACTGACAATGTCGGCATAAGATTGTCATTATTTGGATCAAAACATTCAACAATTTGATTGATTGTTGGCTGAAAACAAAGAAATATATTATTATTATCATAATCGTAAAGATTTCAAGTTTAGAGAATCAAGTATCTCAATTTTTAAATATCATCTTCTGATTTTTCTTGTACTATTAAATGCAGATTGACTCTGACTAAATTATAAGCAGCTGTTTGCCTCAAATTATCCCATAGAATGTATGCTTACTTTCAGGTAGCATATATCTGTCTACAGTTACAGCTCGTAAGACGTCTCAATATTTGAAATAATCTTAATCAACATTCTTGACTTACAGCATCATAAGAAATTTTCAATGGTTCTAAAACTAAAAAGAGACGATAATCAGATTTTTTATCAATTGGAGAAAATTCCAATTCGCTGTGTATCAATGGAAGATATGATTTGGAGGCTGCCGTTACTAATAATGGTCGATGTTGATTATCAATTTTCATACCAAATACAGAAAATGATTGAAGATCAACTTTAAATCTAAATAATAAAAAACAAAATATTCAAAAGTAATATGTTTAATTATTCGTACAAAATGTTTGATGAAACAGCTCGTCGTTTGAAATCTAATCGAGCATCAATAATTTTAATTGGACAAAGAATTTCATTTTCTGTTGATCGAAATATTCGAGAGGTGTTCTTTCTCTGTGGTAAGGATAAATTCAATACTAAATTATTGACTTTAATTTCAATATCAATATTAGGTGACTATGGTTAAAATAGATTATTTAAATAATCAGAGTAAAGAGCAACTTACATCTTCAGAAAAAAAATCTCCGCTAGTTGTAATAGAACTAGATGTTGATGACTTTCGACGCTCTGATATAGTACAATATAAATATATATATATATGATATTGAAATAAATTAGAATATTCTATTTGAAGGATATTTACCTTCTCTCGAATGACCTTTTGTTTTCCACCAAGAGTTCCACCATGTATGATTGTTAACAGCAGTAACTGTAGACGTCATTATTCGATTTGTTTTTATCGAATGACGACGATGATGATGATGATAGTGATGATTGTAGTGTCGATGATGATTATGGTGATGTCCTACTTCTTCAGTTATTAGAGTAGAATTTGTTTCTATCTCAACACTATGGCGAATATAAGCCAAATTGAATACATCCAATTTTGTTTCGAGATACTTTTATATAAAAAAATAAAATTATATTATGAATTTATAATATAAAAAAATTACTTTTAGACGTTCTTTTTGTTCTAATGTCAATTCAGTAATATCTAATTCTTTTTGTAATTGTAATTCACGATATTCTCGACAGCGATCTTTTATAAATAAAAACATACCGATAAGAATATGATGAATTTGATAATTTATTAAAAATTGTCATACCGTATATTTTACTATAATTTTGAAATTTAATAAAATCAAGTAAATCAGAAAATTGTTTTGGATCAATATTAAGACTTAATTGTTCGATTTGAATATCCATATCATATGCTGGACGTTCAAAATTATATTCTCCCGGTTGTAATGTTATTGTTAAATTGATGATAGGATTCATTGGATAAAGAACTATTTGAAGTAAATAAAATACCAATTAAGAATGAGATTTATTTAGAAGAGAATTTAATAATATACAAACTGTAATTCATTTCGTCAGTTTTTGGTATATAATTATATGTTGCTATTTTAGATTTTAAATCCTCCTGAAATATGATAGATTATATTTAAAATAATTATTTAAGATTTCTATAAAATTTACCGCGCATTATTTTTTATCTTATTTCCGTATACATGAAAATATGTTTATGCAACAACTTTTTATTTTTATTTAAAATGATATCACGTAGAAGTTAGTATATGGTGGGTGATATTTTTCTCTTAAATGTAAAAATTGAAATAGATATAGAAATTTCGAAAGTATTTGCTTCCGTTATTTTTTTTTTAATGTAAAAAGTCTTCGAAATTAAGAAGATTTTTAAGAAGTATTACAAAAGTTCCAACCATTGCTGTCGAATAGAACAAGAAGGATTATTAAATGAAGCTTTTCACTATTGATCTATGCATCGGCTTATTACTCTGATCACAGAAACGGAAATGGTAATCATTCCCGCAAAACATTAGAGTCTCGATTTTCTGTGCACTGATCTTTTGATCCGATGAACTTTCATTGAAAAATAAAGGACACCTCAAATTGCTGAATTAGCGCATACACTGCATCACCTTTTGGTATATGAAATTCACACGATGTATGGATCTGTATTTATTTTCAATATAATACTTTTCAAATACCTTGGTAATATCTATTTTGGTATACGGAGTGCAGCGTATGTATTATTGTTTTAGCTATCATTTGCAACTAATAATGTATAATTGATATGGCACGCATATTTAATATAATCTCTTCTAGGCAAATTAGTGTCAAGTTAAGTCTCTTCAAAATTCTATTCTCTATTACTTAGATCAGTAGTGGAATTTGGTTCTTAAATACTAACCACAACATCATCAAATGACATATCAATCCTTGATTTACATTTTGTATTCCAATAGAGTGAAAGTGAATGCATTTCTTTCATCTAGAATAATTCATATAATTATGAAAATAAAGAAAAATAAAAATTTAACCTTGAAAATTACAAGCGAATTCTCTTTAATTATTCCAATTGGTTGACGATTTGTTGTTGTCTAAACAATTATATTTTATCTTTATTCAAAGATTTGTCATTTATCTTTAGAAATCTTACAGTCATTTCGAGATGATGTATAGTAAGTCCAAATGAAAATGGATGTCCTAATTTTGTTGTTGATATTGTTTCATAGCTAATATGTAAATTTCGAACAGTTATTTCAAGATTTTGCATTATTTGTAATCTCATTCGTTCAATAAATGTTGTCTCTTTTTCATCAAGTTTTTTATTATCTTAAATAGATTAATAAGAAAAAAAAAAAGCAAAAAAAAATTTTTATAATACTAACTTAATGCTGCTTTTCTTAAATTATCAACTTTTCGTTGAACACGTCGCATTTTGTCATCATAATATTCTGTTAAGTCTCGACGAACTTCTACAAAAATGAAAAATAGTTTTAAACAATATTTTATTATATTGACGACAAAGCAAAGAATAGCCTGGTCTCAGTGTAATGAATTCTAAAGCATAGTTTTTTTGTGTTGAGAGTTAAAATTCCAGTTGAAACTAATTCTGTGAAGTATATAAAGCTCCTGACACATTAGAAGACCCCCCTATATTAGAAGACCCCTCCATAATAGAAGACCCCCCTTAAATCAATGACGCAACAGACATATTAGAAGACCCCCTTAAAAAACCGATATTTTAAAATAGTTCCTGGATTTTATTCACCTTTTTAGTATTTAAGTTCATAATTATGTCTAAATTCAATACGAAAAATATTTTCCTTTTANACATTATTATGGATTTGTGTATTTCGAACTATCTTTTTTTCAGAATATAGCTCTAATCTTTCTCTGCAAAATGATATAATTTGATCAATAACTTCATAGAAGTTTGTTGTAGATATCATCAATTTACTGAGAGGGGTCGAAACTTTCTGATCACCCTTTTTAGTATGTTGCCATTGATATTTATAACTGAAAATTAATGACGATGAAATACATTTTGGAAGTGATAATCGAAATTTTTCAGTTTCAAAAAAAAAAGTTACCATAATATAAATGAATTTTCTTTTGATAATTTGTACAATAATATCTCTCTAATCTGAGATGATGTCAAACACAAATTTTAATCATTGCGTGATTATAATTGATATGAAATAATAATAATCATCATAAGTCAGTAAATTTTATTAGATGAAAACAACGTACTTTTGTACTGGAAATTAATTTGGGCTACTTTAAATTATTTCAAAGTTTCATAATATAACCGAAAGGGCGCATTCTAGATATTGTGATTATTGATCATTTTGTTTTTGCTAATCAATAATATGAGTATTCATCAATTCTAGTTCATCGGATATTCAGTCGACCAGTCAGATTGTAGTTGGTACATACTTCTGAAAACCTGATGGTATACAAGAGAAAAAGCAATACATATTGTAGTGGTACTTTTTCATACTTTTGTACTTTGACTTAGTTTTTGGCTTGAAGTACGCTGTTTTCTCCTAGTGAAAAACTCATTCGTGTTACTAAATGATCTTCAATCACTTGTAAATTGTTTTTTTTAGTCAAACTCAATATTATCGACCATGTTTCAACCATATCACACAATAGTCAATATTCTAATCAGTTAAAAAAATCTAACTATCGAATATTTATAGTTCATTGAAGTTTTCGAAAAACTTATAAATTATTGATAGATAATTGATGTGAAATCAATTTTCAAATTAATATCATAATATAACGAAGCACTACTGCTCGATTCATCAGAAAAAGAAACAGGTAATATCGTGTATATACGTAAGTTTGCCTAAAAAAGAATTAAGGGTATTCTGTTCCCTTGCGAAGTTTCTAGAAAATGGTTGACTAGAAAAGTATGAAATCTTCAGGACAAATAACTAGTGAGCAGTAGAGTGAAAGTTGCCATATCTGCAATGCTATGTTAGATCGGGTTGAAAATATTTTTTACAGGCACTAGACGGCACTGTTTGGAATGGACGTCTTTTTTTGTTTTTTGTCCTTCGAATTAAAAAAGTCAAAATATCGAAGGTATTCTTTAAAATGCATGATTATTTGAATAGAGCTTTTTGTTTGTATAAGAACTACCGAAAAATCAGCAAAATAATATTTTTTGAAACAAAAAACAAATGCCCATCCCGAACAGTCTATAGTATATGTGAAAAAAGTTTTAAGCTCGATTGGGCATACGAAATCGGAGGAACGGAGGCTTTTCTGCACCTGTTTTTCATGAGAAAGTTGACTTGAGAAAAACGTAATTTGTTATTTCCGTTGCGTAAATTTCATTTCGTGAATTTTTTAATGTTTAAAGACTATTTTTGGATTCTAAAATGTACTCAATAAATAAATACTAGTACTTCAGGTTATACAATGGCTACAAAAAAAACCAAGAATTTTTGAGTCACAAGAAGGGACTAAATTTGAATGAAAGTTGATAGCATAGAGTTCTCTGTTCTCAAACTATTGACGATTATTTACAATAAATTACGATAAGAAACCACAGCATGACACTGCAACAAAAAGACCATTGTAGAATTTTATCCATGAAAGAAAAAGATCTCTGATGTAAAAACGTGTTCTATTACTGATATTGATATAACATTAAGAAAATAATTTTCTTTTTATCTTGGTTGTGTACGTCCATTTCTTTCACTTACATTTATCATCAACGTAAACTATAGATAAATATTCTATGGCTTCTACAAAACGACAACAAAATTTATGTACAATATGTGGTGCAATGGTTGGTGTTTTCATATGTCGTGGATGCACAAAAAATTATTGTTTACTTCATACAAGTGAACATCGAGATCTTCTTCAAAGATCTATGAATGAAATAAATCATAATTGTGATCTTTTAAAAGATAATATTCAAGGACAACAAGCATATGAATATCAAAGGTTAATTATGGAACAAATTGAACAATGGGAACAACAATCGATAGAAAAAATTCGTCGATTAGCTGATGATACTCGACAACAAATATCAATTATTATACGAGATCATTCAAGTAATCTCAAAGAAAAACTAGAAGAATTACAACAACAATTAGAAACAGCTCGTCAAGATGGTGGTTTTTATGAAGATGATTTAAGAGAATGGACAGAAAGACTTGATGAATTACAACGTCTTCTTACTCAACATAAAACATTTAAAATTAATGAAATTACTGATTCAACTTCATTTATTTCAAGAATTTCAATAGCAGATGTATCGAATGTGACGTTTCGAAAGAATTTTTCATCGAAAAATTATGATGAAGATAATATTCCAAATAAATTTGATGATTATTCAGATAATTACAATCAAAATCTATATTCATCAGGAAAACATTTACTTCGATTTAAAATTCATCAATATGAACCGGGTAGTTCAATTGTATTTGGTATTATATCAAAACGTAAATCTATTAGTTCATTCGTATGTGAAAATCCAACATTTTATGGATGGACAGAAGATAATATTGTTTATCTTGGTGGTAATGAACAACCAAATTATCATGGATATAAAAGTGATTTTCAAACGGGTGATATATATCAATTGACTATTGATTGTGAACGAAAAAAGATTCGATTGAAAAATGAACGAACAGGTATGTCATTTGAATTGGACGTTGACACTACGAAATGCTCATTTCCATGGCAACCTAGTGTTCGTATTATTATTAAGAATCCTGAATGAATAAGTCGTAATCAATTGAAAATATATTATGTGATTTCATTTGTAATTCAATTAACTGTAATTGTTTTATTTTACAAATATTTCTTAATAAAAAAAAAAGAATCGTTCGTATCTTATTCAATTTCAATTTTTTTAGTTGTTTATTAAAATAGCGATATAGATTATTGTGGTTTTTCCCGTCTTTGTTACCTTTAATCAAATATGTTGCTTTTCTTTATATGTTATCTTTCTCTTTTTTCGTTCTTGATGAAAGTTAACCGTTAATATTTATTTTACAAACATGAATAATATCTTGAATAGAAAGTAACAAGTTTTTTCGTTTGTTCGAAAAGCTTTAAATTACTAAAAGATTTTGAAGATGATAATTCAAGTTTATGAGGTTTATACAACTATCACAAACACATTTTTTTTATCTGTTGTATATTACATCTAATTAATATGATCTTTTTTTTATTAAAACTGTTAAAATTATATAATTAAATAATAAATCATGTCTTCATATATCAACGTATGTCAAATCGGAAGGATTCGAGCAAACATGATTGTCATTCAATATGATTAAATGTTTTGATATAATATTTTTTATAAAATCTATATAAACTACCCTAGTGAAAGTATAAAGTTCTGGATACTTGTGTACTGTTACGGTTTTCAATTGAATGTCTATATATATATACGTTGCTTTCATGATTCATAGCATCTTATTAGGCAAAATTCCCAAGTACCTATTCGATTTCGAGTCAGGACTTAGTGCATCTTATAGAGCTTAGTGAGGTATGTCTACCATAAAAAGAGGTCGTGCCCCTAATTTGTTTCTGAGAAGATCGAATGTTATTAGGTTTATAGGTGGATATTTTCATAAAGTCTCAACTACATTATATAAAAGGGTTCTCTGATTTCGAGACAACTTTCAGTATTTGTAGAACTTTTTATTCTAAGCATTTTGATAAAAGAATTTCTTTTGAAAACTCTTGTATTTTGATGAAACTATACTGAAAATATCATAAGTAGCAAAACCCCAAAAACTCTAATAAAAGAGAATTTCTTGAGGGTTTTTAGGATTTTTCTGTTTACAGTACTTTTAATGTAACTCCATCAAAGTAAAAGGGTTTTGCATTTTTTTTGAGCAAAACGCTTACAATTAAAAGTTTTACAAACACTGAAAGTTTCCCTAAAATATAAGAACCTTTTTCTATAACATGATTGACACTATATGGAAATAGCCACCTGTAAAACCAAGAACGTTCGATCTCCTCAAAGACAAGCTAAGAGCACAATCTCTTTTTATGGTAGACATACCTCACTAAGCTCTATAAGATGTACTAAGTCCTGACTTAAAAGCGAATGGGTACTTTGAAATGTTTCCTCGTTAGTCGGATATTCTGCTGGAAATCGCTCAAGTAGATGGGCATTTGTATAAGTTCAAAACTCAGTAATTAAATAAGACTTAACGGTTTAGCCGATTAAAGATCCAAAAGAATTTTATTATTATGTTTTTCACGAGTCGTAATGTACCCAATTGCTGACAATTACCTATGAGATACTGATAGTAGTATACTTTTCTGAAGTAATAAGATATACGGAACTCATTATTCATATGAGAATGATTATAAAATTGTATAAGAGCTGTTAAAATATACATTAGTAGTTAATATTCAAATGGCTAGTTCATTTAATTACACGCAGATTGTAGATACTTTCACCAACATGATTTACCTGCCCTTAAAAAAGAATATCTTAAGATAAATACATAGGAATGAACTGAAACTGGTTTTATTGACAATAGGTGATATCAATTTCTTTTTTTTTCATGAAAGGAAATATTGCAAAGCTAATCTTAGTTAATATTGTAGATATGAGGTCAGCGATAAAATTCAATGAAATTCTCACAATTCTTTAAGAAGTTCATCAAGTTTAAATACTTTGTCATTAGCCAAGTATAGATGTTTTTCAAAGGCGAACTCGAGTAGATCTATAACGAGAGCTAATGACCTTGAAGACAAACAGTAAAATGAAAACCTGATATGCTAAGGACAGTTTTTGCCACATATGTATAATATCAACAAGAAGTCTACAGTGTACATTGGTCTCATTTTTATATATTCTTAGAAGACTAGAAAATTCATTAAACATATACAAATAAATCCAAGTATACGACAAACATTCGAAAAAAGATGAAGACTAAAAAGTTTCTATTAGTACTGAGTTGTGTTTTAAATCACTCACTGCCCTGTTTTTTTGTTATTATTGACAATCTTTTTAAAAACTACTTGGGATAAGACCTACTATATATTGATCTTTTTCTTAATAATAGTTATATTAAACCCATATTTTTATGCAAGTATGCATGATAATCAACGCGTCTATTTCAAAGTATCTTTTGACCAAACCTAATATTTCCATGGGATTTATCTGACATATGAAAATATTATAATACGATTTATATTACTAAACTGAAACAATGCATTTGAATTTTTTTTACTGCCGAATTTTCGTAAATGTTTTCTGGTGTTTATTCAAACACTCCATATTTATTGAATTGAAAAATTCTTTTATGGATTCCTACCAAAAAATATGTCATCCATCATTAGTCATCACCTGACTCTAAATTGAAATGATATCAGATTCTAATACCAGGGTGTATGATTCATTGAATAATTTTCAAATTTTTCCTCTTGTTTGTAATGAATCGGTAAAATAATAATTGGTTATAATTTAATTGTTTTTAAAAATGCTTATTTTGAAAGGAAAGAGACTGACTGGTTTTATATTTTCTGATGAATTATCAATCTATTAAGAAACAGTATTCTTTAAAAAAAGATTCAAGAAGTTCGTTGCTATTTTATTTTGTTTTCAGCTTTTCACAGTAGTTCAACACAGAACAAAAAGTAGAATCAATGATGACTTTACAGCGGAGTTATAACCAAGCGGAACATTATTGAAATGATAAAGCCCCTGCTGGTTTATTGAGTCATTTTTAGCTAACTACTTAGCAAACATCAAAATTAATGAGATGTTTGAAGAAAAAAAGATACAAAAATAAGTTATTCAAGATTTTATCAAATAAAATTTTCAAAGTAGTTGCCCTGATTGTTTGCACATAAATGCATTCATTCAAGCTATTTATCTAGATTTTTTCTACAGGCATGTTTGTTAATCGACTTTATGATATTGGTTATGCCGTAATGAAAAGATCGTGAATTTCTTTGTTCAGTTATATGTTGTTGAATTAGGTCAAATAACCAAAAATTATACAGAGCCGTATCTATAGAGTTTGGCGTTTGTCTAATAATTTCCATGATTTCCGATTTGACATAGTTCGGCATTATCGTGATTAAGCTTCTTGACATGTGCAATAGATGATGATCTTTTACTTCATATTTCATCGATAAGAAGTTCCCAGCTATTATCAATATAACAGTGAGTAATGGATGATTTGCCCTTGTTCAACATGATGAATTAGCACGGCATTAGCTGTTTTGAAAAAAAAAAGAAACAACAGAGTTTTTCGAGCGAAATAGCTCCGTCGAACCGCAGTGGGTGGAACTTCATTGATTGATATCCCGGTAACATTCAATGATTTTTGACGAATTCAAACTCATTTGACCCGTTGGTTATCAGTCACCCAATAAGGTATTCATCAAGCTGTAATTTTTGTCAGTTTTATAGGGCCGATATAAATTAATTCAATACTGTCGTGACTCATGTCGATTTCCAGTTGCAGTTCATCAATAAAGTAATGAACTTCTTCAACGTTTTCAGACGTTGTCTCGACTAGAAGCCGACCACCTCGTGGTTGATCTTCGATCTCTTCTGAACCGACACGAAACTATTTTAACTATCTAGCAACCGTATTGTAAGAGACAGCTTGATTGTTAAAAATAGAATATAACTCAGCATGAATCAGTTTCGATTGAATGTTAAGTGCAGTACACATTTTGATGTGCATAGAAATGAACATCTTCGTTTTTCATCTGGAAAAAAATGTATAGCTTCTATTGAAATTTTTCATGAAATATTATTACTTAACTAATGATGATATGTTGTAGATTTGTCGAAATATAATATAAATCTTATTACTATTGGTTATTTATGACTCATCTCAAAACAAAGATCATACAACGTCTCTTCAGACATATACATTTGATAAAAGCAGTACATGTAACATTTCTTCATTACGAAAATAAGAGCCATTCTCCGAAATCTGGTTACTGAGTATCGTTCGTTAATGTATTTTTACTTACGAGAGAATCTTCCCAGATGTCCGAAGTTATTGAATTTTTAATATACCTGTCCTTGAGAGATACTCGTAGGGGTATGAGTTTTTGGAAAAATTTTCTTTTTAAATTTTTGTCTTGAAAATTCCTCCACTTAAAGATCTCACATACATTGGCTGGTACAAGAATTCCAGAATTTTTAGACTTTGTATCTGTGACTGATGAATTTTCCAAAAATAGATGCTTTTGAAAGAATTTTGCACAATACAAGGATATTTCGGAAAGCTCGTGTCTTGAAGATTTGAAGTCTAAATACTATGAGACTCTTTGCACTAGTTAATATGTGTAAGATCTTTAAGTGAAAGTAGTTTCGGCACACAATATTCGAAAAGACGATTTTCCCGAAAACCTAGACTCCTACAAGAATATCTTGAAGATAAACATATTCAAAATTCAATAACTTAGTCATATCTCAATAGGAACGTATATTTTTTCAAGCTTTATATTAAAACACTAAGTAGTACTTGTAGGCAAAAAGCAATAGTCGAAATCAGAAAAGTATCATCGAGAAAAGTTTCCTCATTAAGTTTTTTGAAACAATCGAATACTTTATGGAAATAGAAGCCTACCTACATGTAAGTCTGATCTTTAAAAGAAAATATCAATACGTAAAATAAAGTCAAGTCTACGTTTACGAATTTCGATCGTTCTTTTTCAAGAATACAAACAAATTTCATTAGAGAAGTACACATAAACGAAGAAGATCATCAAACAAAAATATTAATATTTTGAAATAAAATTATTTTATTAATTTGTTCAAAGCAATTAAATCTACTCTCAAGATGTTCTATTGAAGCAAAAAGAAAATCGACTTACTTAGATCATTTGCAGCTGTAAAAAAATGTCGAAATTAGTCTATTTACCTATGCCAGGCAGTCCTAACCGGTTACAAATCAGCTTTACAGACATCCTTTCCATTCACCATAGATATCAAACATTTGAATACTTATAAACATACTAACGCAAACTTTCTTTTCTTTTAGTAATCATCCAACTTCACCTGAGTACCTGTAGTATCTTCAACAAATTAAGATAAAAAAAAGTCATGATCTCTCATTCTACAAACACACACTTTTAACACATTTTGTCCTTTTACTTAGGTTGATATTAAACTAAGATAACCATTATTCACCTTGTGCATGCAACGTATGCCTTTTTTTATTTGACATACGTTGACTATCGCACATAAAAGTTTAATGGCTTCTTTAAGGCGACAAAATATCTCTTGTGCGACATGTGGCAAAACGGCAGGTATATTCACATGTCGTGGATGTTCAGAAAATTTTTGCTTACCTCATACAAATGAGCATAGAGAATTGCTTGAAAAACAAATGAATGAAATTATTCTCATCCATAATCAATTAAAACAAGCTATAACAGGACAAACAACTGAACAATTTCATCAATCACTTCTGCAACAAATTGAACGATGGGAACAACAATCCATAGATAAAATTCGTCGATTAGCTGATGATACTCGACAACAACTATCAAGTATTGTTCAAGATCGTACAGAGAGTATTAAAGAAAAAATAGCACAACTTACACAACAATTAAATAAAGCACGTCATGATGGAGAATTTTTTGAAAGTGATATTAAAGAATGGTCAGAAAAGCTTAATAAATTTCAACAACTTCTTAATAAACAACAAAAAATCAAAATTCATCATGATAAAGATTTAACTCCATTTATTTCAAAAATTTCACTTCAAAATTTATCCAATGATAATCTTGTACAACCAATAAATCAAACTCACTATGAAACTAATCATGATGACAATATACAAGATCAATATGAAGATTATTCATATTTAAAAGAAAAAGGTGAATATTCATCAGGTGAACATTCAATTCGATTTAAAATTGATCAGTATGAACCAAATAGTTCGATTTTATTTGGAATTACATCAAAAAATGCATTCGAAGGAACGAATCCATATGAAAATCCAACACTTTATGGTTGGACAGGAGATAATGTTGTCTATCAAGCTGGTGATCCACAACCTAATTATCATGGATATAAAAGTAATATTCAAACAGGTGATATATTTATGTTTACTATGAATTGTGATCGAGAAATGATTAGTTTAACAAATGAACGAACACGTCGAAAATATGATTTAGAAGTTGACACTATGAAATGTCCATTTCCATGGCTACCAAATGTTCGTTTTTTTATTAATCCGGAATGAATATTAATTCACTTTTTTTATAACGATTTTCATGTGACTTCATTTAGAAAAATTCTTATTTAATTAAATAACAGAACCGAAAAAATATGACTTTTATAATGTTTAAATTTTTTTTTTGTAGTATTTCGTATGATATTGAAGATAAAAATAAATTGTTTTGTATTGAAATTTAGTTTTCATTGTTTAAAGAACTGCTACATGCGATTTGTTAAAGGTTTGTTGACATTTAATGAAATTAATTCAATAAGATGCCTACTAACGCTTAGGATCCGTCGACAATCAGAATCAACAAAAAGATATAACATGTATTTGAATACTGTTGATATTTGTGTTTTAGCCCTATGAGATCATTTTGAATAAAGAAGACAAACAAAAATTCTACGAAACCAATTTTGAACACACATTCAATAAAATCATGAAAAGTTCATTTCAATTGATTGAAATGTTAAAGATGTATTTACGTTTCATTTTTGTTCGGACACTTGAAACACTTTGTACTTCATAACTAACTACTCAAAAGAGCCATATATAACGAAATCTATGTTCTTTGTGTTTTATTTTAAGACAACAATGCTGATGTTGTTGATGTTCTCATTCTTTTACAATCCATCACTCTTGTTACTCTTCAAGAAAACTCTTTTTTTTTTTTTGTACTATTAACTCTAATTTTCTTTATCACATTAATCTATCAGAAAACAATGTCAAGTGCAACATGAGATAAAGTAACAGGTTCATTCACTTGTCAAGTTTATTAAAAGATTTTTGTATTCGATATGTAATCGAATATCAAGAAGAATTAAACAAACAAATTGATTAGTTGAGCCTTATTCATGATTGATTTCAAGATAATCTAGCTGAACAAACAGCAGAGCTTCAGCAATATCCTTGCAAAAATGTGTCAAGGCAAAAACCTTCATATAACAATCGACTAGTCTGTTTAACAAAAAAAGGATCATCTGAGATGGTTTTTCTCATAATCTAACTACAGCTGCCGATCAGATAAGGAATAAGAAGGTCTATTCTTGCCAAAATTTGAAAATTTGTTCGACTTTCTGCGAAAATGACTGATAATTTCTAGCAAATGGTTGCTCAGTTTCAACCAGAAAGTAGGATGAGACTTTTTTTGCTGAACTTTCAGTCTCTTCTACTTGTCAAAGTATTTGGCAAAACTGGGTTTAAAATGCAATGAAACATAAGTTCTTCTCTCCACTAATGGAAAGAACTCTCATTATGAGAATGTCTTGTAAACGAAAAAAAAGTTACTTTATTTATTATAATTATGAACAGTACTATAGTCCATTCCAGAGTTAGATGCCTGTAAGAGTTTTTTGAATAACTTTCAAATAAAAAGAGAGAAACAATTCGGGTTTTAGCACTATCTAGAATCGACATTGCTCTATCTTTTTACTAAGTCGAAGAAATATTCCAGTCGCTTTTCTTCTTAGATACATCGTGAGTTTTGAAAATAACCTTAATCCACTTTGAGAACAATTTGCTTTCTCAACTACAATATAATGAGCAGATAACCTAACTTCTTCTCTATCGATCTACGCAAAGCCAAGATCGATAATGGTTTGTGTTGCAGAAATATAAAGATTTTACTAAAGACTGCTTACCAATTTTTTTCAAAATGTGAACAGTTCACAAATATTTTCTTCTGTAAATTTTAAGTCATCTTCGACTTCATAGCATGATTTATTAACATTCGGAATGTCTTTTTTCTACTAGAAACGTGATTAAAAACTATGCATAGAATTGGCAATCTGATTATAATGCATCAATATTTTCAAAAAGTTCTCTTAAACCTTTGTTTTATGAGTGCTTTCATTAAAATATTTTTCTGAATCCAAATCAATCAACCGAAAAGAGTTTTAAGATGCTTACATAAATTTACCAGAAAAACATTAAAATCATCAGTATTATCTATACTATAAGCGCCCTATAGTTATCGTTGTCATGATCATTCAGTTTCTCTCCAACCTCTGCGACAGAAATATCGACTTTTACACATGGTGTCACTTTTTGTTTGACATAACTAATATAACTGGTTGCTTTCGTTGCACCTAAGCCATAAAACCATTATTGTGTCAATTTGCTCACTTCAATCAAAGTAAAATTCGTATGTTTATCACGAATAGTTCCATATTGGTCCGGGCTAACTCTATAGAAGTCAAGTGATCGTGTTCCATTTGTAAAGGGATGTAGATGTAATGATAACTGAAGATAAAATCAACACTGACACACTAACATCTAATGTATTGTTTTTGATGATGTTTTTAGTAGAAAAACACATTCCAAATATTAGTAAATCATGTCATGAAGTTGAATACGACTTAAAATTTATAGAAGAAAATATTTATGAACTTTTCACATTTTGAAAAAAATTGTTAAACAATCTTCAGTAAAATCTTTATATTTCTGTAATACAAACCATTATCGATCTTGCTTTTGCGTATATCAACAGAAAAGAAGTTAGGTTATCTGCCCATTATATTGTAGTTGAGAAAGCAAATTGTTATCAAAATGGATTAAGGTTATTTTCAAAACTCATGATGTATTCAAGAAGAAAAGCGACTGAAATTTTTCCTTCACCTTATAAAAAGATAGAACAACACCAACTCCAGAAAGTTCCGAAACTCGAGTTAATTCTCTTTGTTTTAAAACTGTTCAAAAAAATGTCCACAGCCATTTGACCCTGAAATGGACACTAATTATGATCAAAAACAGAAATATCAACAAGGAACATAATCAAAACAAATTAATAATAATGATCGAATTGAAATGTTACAATAAACAAAAATTCGAATATTCGAAAAGCAAATTTATATTTAAATCCATTAAGATTATCCACATCAATGGGTATGACAGCAACATTATTACCATCAGAATCGTTTAATATTGAATAAAATATACTTGGGATTAAAAGTTGTTCTTATAATATGATTTTCTTTCAACATGTCTATTAGGTTCATTAACATACATAGCATATTAAATATCTGATCATTTAATGATTAAATTAACTTCAAAATTTTTTTTATTTGATGTATCAATGATTAAGCATGTTTAGTATTTAAAGCCTCTTGATATTGTTTTAGAACGTATGGATAAAGAAAAAATATGAACTGATGCTTCTTCTGCTAGTTCATCATCATAAGAAAAATGATGCCAAGTATACAAAAATGTTTTAATTCATTAATAACTAATATAATTACAACAAGCATTGATGATATTACATCATTGATTATTAATATCAATCATCATTAATATTATTGGAATGATAATAATGAATCATGATATTCATTATAAAGATTGTTAAAAAATAAATCGGCATATTTACATCAAATATTATCTTAGAAGCTTGATTCAACAAATGATTCTATCGAAAGATCTCGATTAGTTTATATAATATCATTGATGTGTATGACCACCCACACCCAAAACAAGAGGGCCGACTGTTAGCGAGCATATCACATTATGACAATCCTCGATTCATGTTCTCTTTTCTCCTCTCTTCTTATCAGTTGTTACCGTTTCTTTCTCTACTCTCTTTACTCTCTCTCTCTCGTCAAGTTGTTCATATGTGTGTGCGCAATCATGTGTGAAGATATATACGCATTCTTATTTTAATAAAATAATAGTAAAGCTCGTCCGTTACAAGCTAACAAGCGATGATAAGCGAAGAGATGTAAACGTGCATTTGTAATAGAAGACATTCACCTGCTCTCGTACGAGGCGACATGAACTTTACTTTTTTTTTCTCTTTGATATGTGCCCGATAAAGTCACACTCTTCATAGCTCCGTAATCTGTGTACATGCATTGTCAAATATTTACCTAACTTGATCATACAAAGCTCTGCCTTTATCACTGTTAGATATATAAAGAGAAGTGCATCAATATAATATCGCCATTTATTGTGCTTTCAACAATATAATTTATACATCAAATATTCTATCTTCAATAGAATTATGCAGAATCTTCTTTATTTTTTTGCATTCGTCATACTTTATTGTTCAGTGCAAAGCCAAGATAATAAAGTAAGTCAAATCATCTGTTTGAACTTATTTAAACATCTGATAAGAGAAATAGTCCTTCGTGATACGATCATTTCGGAGATTGGCATGAGATGCAAATAAGAGCGAAGAAGTTGTTTTAGAATCATAAGTATTACTATTACTCATATAGAAGGTTCAGTGCGAAATTCACATGATAGAAATACCCATTTTTACTATCGTAAAACCATAACATATCATCTTCAAAAAACAATCGCTTTTTGAAATGATCAGAATACAATCGTTATGCGTCAAATAAAAGGTATTCTGTTGTATTGTCGCACACCGAGAATAGTTTGATCGGAAACAGATACGAAAAGAACATCTAAAATTTGGTTGTTTTTTACAGTTTTTAAGACAGTTGTTATGGAACTATTGTGTTCGTCAATANATAGTATATGAAAGGCTTCTCTTAGATCTATCAAGGTACACCACCATTGGCTCATGATAGATTCCTAACCGAAAGTTATAAAAGAGAAAAGTTTGTCCCAGAACTTTTGTCCAGCACTGTATTATCTCGTGAAAAAGGGAAGACCATGCTTCGTAAGAAGTATTCTTAGGAGATATAGTCATTGTATCCCAACATTTTGGTACGATATCTGTTAGCTTTCTTTTTTTAAGGCTACGACCTATCACTGCAATATTTTATCTTCCCGATAACTAAATAAGTGCAAAAAAGAAAATTATTTTTTTTATCAAAATCATTTAATTCAGTTACTTATGCGAAAGTTTGATTAATCCCTTCCCCTCCCTCTTTCCACAGAATGGAAGTCCAGGGTGTGCTCCTGTTCCGCAAGCTATAACTTTGCAATGATGCATGTTCCGATAAGAGTTTTTGTGTTATTTGATAGAAAAATGTTGATTCTTTCATTGTTCATCGGCTTTAGTTCATTTTTCATAACGGGAACCTCGATTGTCAACGAAGAATTCTAACCCACCGGATGGGGTTCTATTCTATGAGGGAAGAAGTTTAGTATAGATGGAAATCGTTTACGATGAATTCTCCTACCAGCATACTTATAAATCTCAAGCTAACTTCGATAAGTATGACTGTCTTATTAGAAACTATTTATAGAAAATCTGTGGTTGAATATACAATCCGTGGTTTTTTTGCATCTGTCTTGAAGATGCCTTTAGGTCTTATGGAGAAAAGAAATAGGTTCGCAAACTCTACGGAAGTATTCATATATAAAATCATGACGTACCTACATGAAGTTATATTTTCTTTTGTTATGGAACACTGTTTTGTGATTCAAATGCTTCTGATTCTCTAGAAGAAAGTCGAAGATAGAGAGGTCTTTGTATTAATACACATCAACATTTTACCTAGTCTTTTACTAATGTGTAAAGATCTCTTCATGCGTTATACGTGCGAAAATGTACCCTACTCATTAGATCCTGTTTCCGCGAAAGCGTATTTTTCGTGCATAGAAACTGAAGAATATTTGTAAATTAAGCTGCAAAAGAGTACTGAAATGACTCCACAAGATGTTGTTAACAAAGAAACACAATCTTTAATAGATAGATCTTTCCTGTAAACTACTTCGCAAGATTTCAGTCGCTCGGATTTGGCACTTTGTCATAAGAATAAAAGGAAAATATTTTTCGTATTGAATTTAGACATAATTATGAACTTAAATACTAAAAAGGTGAATAAAATCCAGGAACTATTTTAAAATATCGGTTTTTTAAGGGGGTCTTCTAATATGTCTGTTGCGTCATTGATTTAAGGGGGGTCTTCTATTATGGAGGGGTCTTCTAATATAGGGGGGTCTTCTAATGTGTCAGGAGCTTTATAATGTCGATTGACTTAAGTTTCATAAGTTCAACATAAATAACAAATGAATCTTTCGATCAGTCTAAAATGTCCACTTGATAACAATGTATTCCTTGTTAGAGTTCAGAATTAGAGAATGCCAAAGTAAATTCTATATATGTTATGCAACTTTTTATGTTCTACAAAATGTTTGAAAAATACTGAAGAATAAATGAACAAATGGTATCTTCTGAGCGAGACGGAGTTTACATCTCTCTCCTATATAATGGTTTCTCAATTGAAAAAAACAACAGATTTTTCGATTCCCATGAAACAATTGTAAAGGAAAATAAATGCGACATTCAGAATCAACATCAACAACTGCATGTAATCGAAAACATTTTATAGAAAGTTCTTTTGTGAATAGTTCATTCATGGTTCTCTTTAGCTGTTTTTGCTTTAAAGTTTTCTCGTGGTATCTCAGGAGCAGGATTTCATGGAAAAAACAATTTCTATCAAATGTTTTCGATTCAAAGCAGCTGTTGGTGCTAATTTCGAGTATCGTGCCTATTCTGCAATGCAATTATTTCATGACCGTTGAAACCGTAAAAAATGTTCTTTTATCTATTGGCTTTTTTATGCAGTGTAGCAGCTCTAATCAATAACAATGTACTTATTATGCATGCATCAAATTTGACTTTTCTCTCAGGAATATACTTACTATGAGTTACTTTTTCCTTGAAACTATGAAACAAAGTTATTTGCTTGTATGACAGCTTGCAAAGAAACAATCAGTCAAATTGACCATTCTGTTGTCGGATTTGCTCAGTTGAAAAGTTTCAGAACATTTATTTAAGTCTTTTCTGGGATTTTCGCAAGAGATCTATCAAATTCAATACTTATACTGTACTTCTTTTTTTCAGCAGCATCGCCAAGCTCGTGATGCTTCCGGTCGTCTTCAACCGCCGCCTCCCTTCAACAAATCCTATCAAATTATTGTTTTAACCGGCGGAAAAGTTTACGGGGTTCCGATTGAGACCAATACAGCAACAGAAGATCTATGCATGCCTCAACGAAAAGACGTCGTCATTGTGGGTGGCAGAATACTGAGCATGATGGAACCATCGAAAACGGCTGCATTCATTGATTCTATCCAAAAAAGCCAGTTGACCATTCTACCCATTTCTGTTCAAGATCAAATTATCATGCCAGGACTCATCGATGTACACGTTCATGCCATCGGAGGTGGTGGAGAACAAGGTTTGTTGATGGGGTTGACCTTGTCATATTTTTCAAAAAGGATTTCCAGAAAATTTACATCGATCTGACTCACTTTTGCACTAGAAGTCTGTGATCTATAACAACATGCTTTGTTTAGATAAACAAACACTACCGTATGATCAATCTACGCTTATTGCATAATTTGTTCTCGTCAGTAGATAGGGATAATTCTTTCGAAATGACACGGATTCTGAGCTAAAAAAATCTCGAAATCGTAATACTATCGTAGGAATAGATAAGGCTTATTATTATTGTCAATGAATACGTACTACAGTCCGAGTCAAGTTCGACTTTGGCCTTGTCAAAGGTGCCAAAAATTTCTTGTGTTTATTTTCTTTTCAGGTCCGTATTCTCGAACTGCTGAAAGCCGTTTATCTCAATTGATAAGAGGTGGATTAACGACGATTGTTGGAATACTAGGAACCGATGGTGTTACGCGAAGGTTAGTCAAGTTAAGGCATTGTTTTTAATCGCTTCGTTTGTCGTGATTCGATTCGCAATATTTTTCAGCTCCTCACGATGCTCAATGCATTAATGACAATCAGTCAACAAAATCAGAATTCATTGCCATACACAATTCCAGAAATTGTAAAAGTATTCGATTTAATCGATTGCATGTTTCAAATTTCAGAAGAGATCAGCAGCGTTTTTTCTAAACTAGTACTAGAGTGGGATTTGTTTTGTCTAAGTCATCATACAAAAACTTTTCTTTCGTGAGCCGTTTTGTTAGATTTCATGAGACACATTCTTCGATATGCTTCACTGCCTATTGAATGTTCAAAAATGTAATCATTCACTTAAAAAATACTTTGGATGCAATGATAACGTCGTGCCTTATTATCTAATCACTTCTGTATAGAGGCAGATAACGAGATGTGGCATATCCAGATGTTACGCTCATTCACTTGGAGCTTTTGTTTTCAGCATAGCTTTCCAAAACAGTCTTCAAGTTTTGAAAGATTCAGAAAAGAATTCAAGACTATACAGTATTATATTATTGTCTTTTGTTTCAGTCTGTCATCGTTGCTACAAAAAATGAAAGTAAGTTTTTTATATCAACCACTCTCAGTATCAGAAAGAATTAAAATCGTCTAAAGGAATTTCTTTAAATACAATCTTATTGAGTAAAAATATGAATGTTCAAACCGATAACATTAGCTCACTTCTGTTTCGTATGGTAAATATTGTGAGCAATACGGCTTTGATACCGAAAATCGAGCATTTCCTTTTTTTTCTTTATTTTTGGATCATCTTTCTATTGCAGAGTCTGGAACATAATGGTCTTTCAACATGGATGTGGACTGGCAGTTATCGTATTCCAATCGTTACACTCACTGGATCTCTTCAACAAGATTTACTCTTGATTGATAAAGTCATCGGAGCTGGTGAGCTAGCGCTTAGTGATCATCGATCGAGTTGGCCATCGAAATCTGAACTTACACAGCTGCTTAGTGATGTTCGAGTCGCTGGAATGCTCAGTGGAAAACCAGGTGTAATTCACTTTCATATGGGTTCAGCTTCGACAAAAATTGATTTGCTTTGGCAAATTTTAAACGAAACAGCGATTCCAATTCGGCACATGTATTTGACTCATATGTCATCACGAGGAGATGATCTCATTGAGGAAGCCAGAAAATGGATCAGAGCTGGTGGTATGTGTGATTTTACCGCTGATGCAGAAACCCTCAATGAAACTGAAACAATCGATACACTGAATAAGTTTCGAGCAGAGAAATTACCATTGAAACAAATTACAGTATCCAGTGATGCTTACGGGTATGAATATTAATTCACGCTCTAGAACATTTTACTACTACGGAGAATGCAAATTTACTTGCATTCATCTGAAGAATGTGATCTTAACTGTTTTCTTGTTTTCGATATGATTTGAATCGACCGTAAAGACATAAAAAGTGAGCTGTTTTCAAAGTCTGTTGCACATGCGTTTGAGTCTCTGGTAGATGTCGAAGTTTTCTTCCAAACATTTCGTAAGTGTACTTCAGACTGATTAACAATTTAATGGTAGGTTCTAAACAGTATGAATTGGTTCAAATCGAAGTCAGATGAAGTTCTTTGTAAAGGCAACCTTTCGTTTTTACTTGCTTCTACAAAATAATTCAATGAAAGGGAAAAAGTAATCGAAGAAATTGGATTTGACGCCTACTCTGTGTTAAGACTTCAACGTTCAATATCGCATAAGAAACCTTGCCTTGGTTTTTTTCTGAAGAACATTTTTGAAGTAATAATCACTGTTTTATGGTAGAATATTACTGTTAAGAGAATTGACACGATTTAGTTGCCAGTCGAAATTGAACTTGATCTTGAAAACAGAATTTGCTTTCTTATTTAGATCACTTCCTGTATACGATTCTTCGGGTCACTTAGTTTCCTATAGCATGGGTCTTCCAGATTCAACTTTAAAAACAATACAAAATTTAGTATTGAAGCACTCATGGCCTATCGAAGAAGCAATTCAATTCTCAACATCAAATGCAGCAACATATCTCAATTTGAAAGGCAAAGGCTTTTTGGCCGAAGGTTATGATGCTGATGTCCTTGTTCTGAATCAAACGGACTTAACTCCGTTGTATGTCATCGGAAGGGGACAAATATTGAAAACACCAACATGGACCAAACATGACATGTTCGAAGATATTAGTGAATAACCCTGAACTCTCCATAATTCATATGAACAATAACCTAAATATCACCAAAGCTGATAAACTTGACATTGAAATTCTTTTTTAACTATTGGATAAATATAACAGAATCCAATGTGATATCTTTCACGAGTTATCTGATTCGCTTCTCTATATAATAGTTTCCTCTACTTTCTTGTCGATCTCACTTCATTTTTCTTGTGTCGATGCTATCCGTTGATAATATTATTCATCTCTCTTTTCTTCTCTGGAACTCACATATATTTTCGAAGAAAATAGCGAGTGTAAGTTTTAAGTTCAAGGTTTCGCGGCTCCCCCTACCTCCACCCCTTACAGACAGGCTCCCATTACAGACCATAGCAATCAATAATCAAAGATGTTAGATTTTCTAGAGTTTTCTTTTTGAAAATTGATCAAGTTATAATTTTGAAAAGTAATGAATATCATTATTTGTGACTTGATTAATATATTTGATAGTATGTAAGATCTGCTGTAGACATCATAGATATGTAAAATACACTTATTTGTCAATCAATTCAATGATGATAATAATAAGAATGATAAATTAAGAAAAAAGAATTAAAAAAAATAAAAAAATAATGCACGAATAGCAACAATGGAAACAAAAAATAGAGCGCCCATAGAAAAAAAGTTAAAGAAAAATCTGTTCGAAATGCAGAAACTAGAGAGGTTCTCACTCTTGTGATTGATTATCCTGCAAAACAACTATAGTCTAAGCGAAATTTTTCAGTTTACGTATTTTGTATTAGTTGAATGAGGTTAGAGAGCATATGTGAGGTCCACATTTCAGCCACAATGGGGCTGCGCTAACGAGCTTTTTATTCTCTATTAGTCATTGATTTCCTTCATACACCATAAGGAAGTTGATGAGGATTATCTAGAAGTGTCAAAGACTGGGTGAGTATGAATTGTGGATATATGCTTGGGTATTGGTGTGAGTATCAATGTATTTGATAGTTTGAACCGAACCGACACACCCATACCCTCACCCATATTTTGATTCTATGAAAAGTAGAGTCAGCTACTAGTAGCCCGAGTGCTATCGAAGACCAATCCAACATCGATGTTTATCAACTGTGGTTTGCATAAGATCTATTGAAGGTCAACTTCGTCAATGAAAGCGATGAAAGGCAGTAGCGTATTGTTATTGAAAGTTAGAATGTAAGAGAAAAGCACCTATCTTACTTATTATTTGGAGCAGTTCACTGTTCCAATGTGCAACTGTATTCAAACTGTCATGTAGCCATTATCGATCGGAGAAGGATAGGATATATTTTATCATTCTGATATCATTCGTTCTCTAGTTGCATTACGAAGCAATATTAAGTCTGAAATCAAAATAGCCAATAGATTGTGCATGATTTGCGGCACCATCAAAATATTTATTATACTGCCGGTCTTCTTGGATATGGATATGAGTGATTGATTGTGATATGTCAGTGTCAGTGTGGGTATTCATGTGAGGTGTGAGTACGGTGTGTTAGTACATTTGCTGGAGTGGGTGTTCATGTAGCGTGACTGCTGCTGGGAGGATGTGAGTGGGCCAGTGTATTCTTCTCTTGCGTAGTAATATGCATACACGCAGTCATAGTCTGCACCACCCTCTACCATACTTCTAGATTCTCATATCTAAGCCCTTGTTCACACAAAGACTCTCACCCACCAGAGTCATCCAGAGCCACTCACATCCATATCCTAGCTGATACAGTTCAATCAATAGTGGGGTTGTATTAAATACTTAATTATTAAATACTTAAATGTTTTGATCGTATCTACTCAAATATATAATGAAGGCAGGTAACATGAAGAACCGAAGTGAGTACATGAAAACTATTGTTGTTCTGCTGTGCTCTATTCAATGAAAAGTCAGAATGAGAGTAATTACTGCGCCATCAAGCTTGTCTGATTTGTGCTCAGCAAGAACAATGTCAATGATGTATTAAAACTCAAATCGAAGATATGAAACGAATCATATTGTATGAGAACTCAACAATATCTGATAATTTCATTAATATTAATCAATAAAAGATCTAAGAATATCGTGCAATGCAACATCAAAACAAAAGATTCCCGATACCTTGATTTCTTATCGAGTTTCCCACACATTTATCTTATTGAAATTCTAGGGCAAAGAGGATTGAACCTGATGCTCGATTTGTATGAGAACGGCATCTAAGCAATTGCAAACGAACATATAGAACATATAGAAACACATTTTTGTAATAATTTGAGCATTGTCTCATACTCTGAACATTTTTGAGAATTCGGTCTCATGTTGAACTTGGAATAGCATCGATATAGATATAAATTCAAAATTTATTCGAATAGAGACACAGGACAACAAAGAATGTCTACAGGAACATTAATAGATTTTATTAATATGCAATGGTTGTGCGCGGCCGAATTGTCATAGCCGTAGCAGTCATATTGAAATTATTTGATGGTATATTTGGCCAGTGATTCATCAACTTTTGACGACAAATACGAGGTATTATTTTCCAAACAAATTTTTGAATAGTTTTGCGAAATCTTTTCGAAACGATGAAATTTGAATAACAACTTAAAGAAGCTTGTACAAATACGAGATTTAAACCAAAATCTAGAAGAAAATAATCCAAAGCCTGTTGTTCCATAGTTTTTCTTTCATTTGGAATTCTTTGTGTATAAACATAAAGGATTGATCCTACGGATGACAAAAGCACAGAGATAAGAATTTCAAATAATAACATAATGGCTAATTGACGATCTTTTGATGATAATGGAGTAATGTTATTTTCAGTTGGGGTAGGTTGAACTCGGGATTGTCGAAAATTTCTCATTGTCATCATGCCAAAGATTGACATTAACAAAGGGGATAAAAAGCCGGTTACTGTCATTGTAGAATAGCTCATAAATACAGAATAGGTACCAGATTCGAAGAAACAAATGTAAAAGCCAGGAGCAGGCGATTGAATTTTGGCAAAAAACCAAATAGGGAAATAGTAAAGAAACCACAGAAGAGTTACACCACTAATTGACCAGAAAGCCAAACGACGTGTGCTTCGTTGTCGTACCAGTGCATTACGAGAAGTGACTAATGTTCGATCAATTGAAGACAAAATTAGATAGTATGGTGGTAAAATGATGAGCACATTCAATAGATATATTCGCAATCGACAATAGATTAAATTATATATAGTCAGATCGATGCCAGTCATGTAACGGTAAACAAATGGGACTAGGCAAATCCATATTACAAGAATATTACTAATGTTGAATGCAATAAAATATATAGAGCCTGGATTCTTACGCATTGATTTCTGTCCAAACAGACACAGACAAAGCAATCCGCCTATACTTCCCAGAATGATCAGTATTGGTCCACAGATTCTGTAGAGATTCATCGTGGCCATTTGATACATTATAACAGTATCGAAAGGTGACATTTTGTATTTGATTCGTCGAGTGAAAAATTGTTTCTTATGCACTTCCTGAATGAGAAAAGTAAATTTCAATCATGAAGAATAGATTCTCTTTTCTTCAACTGTTACCTATATTACTCAATTATCAATTAAGGATCTTTTGGGTCGATGCACTTGGACTATCTAATGACTTTCAAAGTCAATTGGCACAGATAATAAAACGTGTGAAATGTACGCTGTCTAAGCAAAGTGTAATGATCATTCAGACACAAGTCATCTTTTTATATAAACCTTCAGAGCAGACACTCCCGGATAGACCATATATGCTTGAGATTTACGTCATACAAATAATTTTTTTTCTAATATCAAATGAAATTTTTACGATATTAGAAAGACGCCGGAGTCAGAACTGCCGAGTCTGGCAGTAATCTCGCCCCATTTCATTTCCATTATGAGATGAGAAAAAGTAGATAGGGAGGAACATAAGAAGAAATGAGAAAATGATTGACACTAGCTGGAACAGCTGACGTTGGAGATTGATTTCATTCCCTCTTGCTTATCGATGAAAAATATCAACTAGATGTTGGCCTAGTGCATGATGATTCACGCTAAAAGAATGTCATTATTTTTATGAATATAATGAACTCCTTAAAATTCTGTCTTTGTTTTATAACTGTAACTCTATTCGTCGTCACTTTCTAAGAATCTTCATCATTGCACTGATTCACTTTCAGAATTATATCAATCACTTTTAGTTGATCCTTTTTTTCTTTGAGTGTCATCAAATAAAATGTTTCCTACCTTTTGAAAGTTCTTCTTTTTTGAAGGGAAAGCTCAAGTAGATTATTTCTTTTAGCATTTCTAGCGCAATATTCTTATTGGAAGAGATGAAGCCATAACATCGCTGCTCTAGTGTTCTATATAAGAAGTTCTGTACTTTCTAATTGAAAAGAAAATTGTCAACATTGACAAGATCTGTCGAAACTAAATGAACAACTATGTTGAAAGTGACATGACACGAATTAATTTATCTTTTTTTCGCGGAGCACTGTTTTTGACATTGCTATCAGCTGTATTTTTTTTTAATAATAATACTAATATAACTAATGGAAGAAGAAAAATGTGTCGTTTCTCCTTTTCTTGTCGACTTGTAACATTATGTTGGGCGAGATATTCTGAAACATGAAAGCAGATGTGACTGTAATTTTTTTCTATTCAATTAACAAAATCGTAGTTTTAACTTAATCGTGCTAAAAAATGACTGGTTTTTATTAGAAAATTCGAGAAGAATGTGGGCTTTCGATGATTCTTCCAAGTGTTACGAACGGTTTGCTTATGTTACAATATCATACCGTTCATTCTTGTTCTGTGATTCACTTGTGAATTTAATGGAGAACTAAAGATATACCATATATCGCAAATCTATGTGATAGTCAGTGTTAACTTTTCGAAGAAACTTAAGTATCTTTCTTTTATATTGATAGAGACGGATGAAAATTTTGATTACTCTATCTGTCTCCCTCTAAACTCGTGTCCGTTTTTTCTTCTCCTTCTACTAAAACACTTCTGTCTAGTTTATGTTCT